GAGAGCTTGTGGAGCCTTCAAGATCTGTCACAACTTTATGCAGCATCAAATTCATTTTCTGGTATTCTATCTCCCCAAATTGGAAATCTAAAAGCTGTCACAAACATTGATTTAACATACAATGACTTTTCAGGCATGATCCCTAGCACTATGGGAGGTCTACAAAATTTGATTAATTGTTCTCTATCATACAACAGGTTAGATGGCCCCATTCCAGATTCTTTTGGGAAAATGTTAAGCTTGGAATTGTTGGATTTAAGTTATAACAATCTAACTTGTGAAATACCAAAGTCCTTAGAAGCTCTTGTGTACCTCAGATACCTTAATGTTTCCTTCAATAAACTCAGCGGAGAAATTCCATCTGGTGGTCCTTTCGTAAACTTCACCAATCAGTCTTTTGTGTCTAATCATGCATTATGTGGTGTATCAAGGCTCCAAGTGCCACCATGTCAAGTCAACTCTCCGCGAAGGGCGAGGAGAAAAAGAGTGCTTTTCTCGATCCTGTATAGTCTTTTGGGAATAACATCAGTATTTGTTGCACTAGCCCTTGGATTTCTGATTTCTCGAGCTCTCTTAAAGAAATTTCTGCACCTGGGTGCAAACTCAGCGGCATTATACCAGAAGAAATTGGAAACCTAACAAATGTTATTAGCATAAATCTATTTGTCAATGATTTGACAGGGTTCATCCCTAAAACTGTTAGAGGTTTGCAGAAGATTCAAAGGTTTTTTATACAAAGTAACATGATAAGTGGGACTATTCCAGATGAAATTTGCTCTTTACAAAATATTGGAGACCTGAGTGTTAGGAAAAATAGAATTTCAGGTCCATTACCGTCGTGTTTGGGGAACCTTACTAGTTTGAGAAATCTTTATTTAGCTTCCAACAGATTGAACTCCAGTTTACCCGAGAGCCTGTGGAGCCTTCAAGATCTATTGATATTTGATGCAGCATCAAATTCATTTTCTGGTGTTCTGTCTCCCCTAATTGGAAATCTAAAGGCTGTCACAAACATTGAATTGTCATACAATGACTTTTCAGGCATGATTCCTAGCACGATAGGAGGTCTACAAAATTTGATTAATTGTTCTCTATCATACAACAGGTTAGATGGCCCCATTCCAGATTCTTTTGGGAAAATGTTAAGCTTGGAATTGTTGGATTTAAGTTATAACAATCTAACTGGTGAAATACCAAAGTCCTTAGAAGCTCTTGTGTACCTCAGATACCTTAATGTTTCCTTCAATAAACTCAGCGGAGAAATTCCATCTGGTGGTCCTTTCGTAAACTTCACCAATCAGTCTTTTGTGTCTAATCATGCATTATGTGGTGTATCAAGGCTCCAAGTGCCACCATGTCAAGTCAACTCTCCGCGAAGGGCGAGGAGAAAAAGAGTGCTTTTCTCGATCCTGTATAGTCTTTTGGGAATAACATCAGTATTTGTTGCACTAGCCCTTGGATTTCTGATTTCTCGAGCTCTCTTAAAGAAATTTCTGCACCTGGGTGCAAACTCAGCGGCATTATACCAGAAGAAATTGGAAACCTAACAAATGTTATTAGCATAAATCTATTTGTCAATGATTTGACAGGGTTCATCCCTAAAACTGTTAGAGGTTTGCAGAAGATTCAAAGGTTTTTTATACAAAGTAACATGATAAGTGGGACTATTCCAGATGAAATTTGCTCTTTACAAAATATTGGAGACCTGAGTGTTAGGAAAAATAGAATTTCAGGTCCATTACCGTCGTGTTTGGGGAACCTTACTAGTTTGAGAAATCTTTATTTAGCTTCCAACAGATTGAACTCCAGTTTACCCGAGAGCCTGTGGAGCCTTCAAGATCTATTGATATTTGATGCAGCATCAAATTCATTTTCTGGTGTTCTGTCTCCCCTAATTGGAAATCTAAAGGCTGTCACAAACATTGAATTGTCATACAATGACTTTTCAGGCATGATTCCTAGCACGATAGGAGGTCTACAAAATTTGATTAATTGTTCTCTATCATACAACAGGTTAGATGGCCCCATTCCAGATTCTTTTGGGAAAATGTTAAGCTTGGAATTGTTGGATTTAAGTTATAACAATCTAACTGGTGAAATACCAAAGTCCTTAGAAGCTCTTGTGTACCTCAGATACCTTAATGTTTCCTTCAATAAACTCAG